AAAGTCGAAACATTATACATAATCAATTTTCAAATAATTTTGTTTTTTCTTATTTGCCTTAACTCATTCCATGTGGATGGAAGACCAATAAAGCAATACACTCACTCAACAGACGACCTTGCGCAGCGCTGTCGCATACGTTTATTTTTAACCGACTTCAAAAAACGGAGGAGATTATCAGTTCGTCGGAATATTTTATTTTTTATTTTATTGTTTTTTTTTTTTGCTTAAAAATTACTTGTTTAGCGCACACATGAAACATCAACTAATTTTGGAAAGCTAAACTTACACAAAAAACCAAACTCTACGTATGGAACAAAACATCTGACTGGTACAAATCTCACAATACGAACAAAACTAACTTAACACATTTCCCAAACATTAATCTACATCTATCTCTAACACGATTCGATCTGAGAAAATACATACATACGATGACGACTCGGACACACAAGACTTACACACCAGAACTGAATAGATAAATACAACGCAAACTCATGTCCTTACTGGATCCACAATCAATATCCTCCTTAACTGACGGTCCTTCGACTACTTCAGAACAAAGACCTTTCAAAACCAAAATCCATTTAAGTTACTTTCAGTTCCTTCCACACAAAACACAGAATTATTTTATTGAATATTTAAAAATTGCACAACTGTATTTCTCAATATGAATACTTAATAAAAAAGGAACGGTCCAGCGCCTTCGTCTTTGTCTGCAGGCTGTATCGGAGACGTGGTATGGTAAGAGCACATCCAAGTCAAAAACGAAAGCACACACTAAGAAAAAATATCGATAACAAAAGCGATAATAACATCGATAGCAAAATCGATAACAAAATCGATTAAAAAAAAGCGATAACAAAATCGATAAAAATTTCCATAACAAAATCGATTGCAAAATCTATAAAAAATTTATTATAAAATCGATTAAAATATCGATAACAAAATCTATAAAAAATATCGTTTATTATATCGTTAAGTTCCGAAAACATCGATATTAAAATCAATAACAATATCGATAAAAATTTCGATAACAAAATCGATAAAAAATATCGATAACCAAACCGATAAAATATCGATTATTATATCGATAAGTCCTGAGAATTCCGTAAATCTCTAACATCCCGAAATAGTCCCCAGATTGAGTCTATGTCTATATCCTTTTCTCTATAATTACCTTTATTTTAATCTTTCTTCCTCTAGCTGCATCTTTACTTTTATCGGTATCCTCATCCTCATATTTTTCTTTATATTTATCTTTGTTTTTACTTTTATGTTTATCATATTCTTCATCCACATATTCCCCTCCACCTTTGCCTTCTATAAATATTGCACCATCTCAAAATCCCAAATACCTACATACATACGCATACATACTTTTTGTCTCCTTCTCTCACTTCCAGCGCATGCACGTGTTTGCAAAATGATGAAGTGATAATTGAATAAAATAAGCATGCTTAGAAAGTATCAACCAATACTTCCCATATACCCAGTGTTGGCACTAATCGATTGATTTTTTAATCAATTAGTTAATTTGATTAAATTCAATCGAATTACAGTTAATCATGATTTAATTTAATCTGATTAAATAGTTAATCGTAACCGTGATTAAAAAAATTAATTTTTAATCATTAACCCTTAAGTAGGTTTGGTGATTAATTAATGTATGCTGGAATTGTCTTTTGCACACAAGGTCAGTTAATCGGGTATAGCTAAGTCGGTTTCCCTCATCAATCTAAGCAATTTGGTATGCATTTTGATTGTGATCTATTACCAGCAGACGTTATGAAAACTAGGTTTTATATCTCTCTGCACATGTGCCATGGGTTGTCAAACTTCCCAGTTTATGTTATACAAATTATAATTATTATTTGTTTATATAAGTATTATGTGTTTTCATAAGCGTCAAACAGAATTGAATAATCGTATATGGTGTTTTATTTAAAATGCAGACAAACTAGACCACTTAATCAGATTTTTTTTAATCGGATTACCGATTGATGATTAAAATTAATTAGTCGTAATCACAACCGACGATTAACGATTAAAAAAATGTAATCATTAATCATACAGATGATTACGATTAATTAATTTTAATCGTTAGTCGCGATTAACATTTTAATAGTTAATTTTTAATCGTTAATCAGATTAACATTTTGCCAACACTGCATATACCAAACGAAACGAAAAAACTTGAATTTTTGATTACAAAAACCAAATCTATCGAGCGGTTTTCGAGAATTTTGGAAATAAAAAAAATTTTGTAATTTTTTCAAAACAATTCTTTAACTTAAAATACTCGATATTTGTTGAATTCATATAAAATTTGTACACGATAATATTTCTACAGCTCCAAAGAACCTATATCCCGATGAAAGTTATATCTGCAAATCATAAGTTGCAAGAGCACTTTAAAGTTTCAAAATTGACCCCGAAATAAGCCAATATTTACCGTTGTTTCTACAACAGACACCGAATTGGTTACAGAAATGTATCTGTCGATAGGTTTGGAATTTTGTCTTTGAAACGCCACCCACACCTTTCTTTGAAACCGTTTCACTAGTTCTCGTGCAATAAGCGTTTTCGTGAAGTTCTAAAAATTACAACTACAACATTTGAGCATAGCCTCCATATCGAAAGGTAAGACGTATTCTACGTCAAAAACAAAACAAACAAGTAAGAAAGTCTAAGTTCGGGCGGAGCCGAACATTAAATACCCGGCGCAAGTATTAAATATATGTTTTCCACCTTTCCGAAACCTTCCGCTAGATGGTAAGCCGGGGTGTATACATTTTAAGTAAATTAGCGTCCTTAAATTTCGAAATATTGAAATTTCAAGCATATCTGAAATTTACGTTATATGAAAAGCGGCCTAAATTTTAGTCCGATTTCAACAATTTTCAACGGTTTGCTTTTATGTGGCAAGCACAATAACCATACCGAGCTTGGTACAAATTGCTAGAACGGTTAGCGAGATACATATATGTGATCACAAGTGGGCGGTGCTACGCCCATTTTCCAAAATTTTGTCATAAACGTATTTCTTGGTAAAGAATTGTTGCAATCATCAATTTTGAATAAATTAGCTTCAATATTTACTGATTTATCGAAGATTTTGTATTTCTCGAAATTACCGTTATATGGGATGTGGGCGTGGTTATTGTCCGATTTTAGAAATTTTCGGCCAATTGGTATGCTGTACCAGGACCAACAACTGTGCCAAGTTTGGAAGAAATTGGTGTAGCGGTTACCAATATATAAGCATGTAACCATAAGTGGGCGTGGCTACGTCCATTTGCCAAAATTTTGTAATATTCTTATTTTTCGTCTAAAACTCATTGTAAATATCAATTTTGAGTGAATTATCTTCAGTAGTTACTAAAATATCGCAGTTTTCGTTTTTCTGAAAATTACCGTTATATGGGAGGTAGGCGTGGTTATTGTCCGATTTTTAAAATTTTCGGCCATTTGGTATGCTGTGCGAAGGCCAATAACTGTGCCAAGTTTGGAAGAAATTGGTGCAGCGGTTACCAAGATATATACATGTAACCATAAGTGGGCGTGGCTACGCCCATTTTCCAAAAATTTATAATATTCATGTTTTCCGTCTGAAACTCATTGTAAGTATCAATTTTGAGTGAATTACCTTCAGTAGTTACTAAAATATCGCAGTTTTCGTATTTCTTAAAATTACCGTTATATGGGAGGTAGGCGTGGTTATTATCCGATTTCGCCCATTTTCAATACCATCCGTCCCACGCCCAAAAGAAGTTCACGTACCAAGTTTCGTTAAGATATCTCAATTTTTACTCGAGTTATC